ACCCCGTTACTGCTCTCGTTTGTAATGGATAACAGATCTAGGATTTAATGCTATTAGTCGGATCATATCTCGTAGCCGTACCTGCGGTAGACAAGCTTCAGCCTAACCCCTAACACCAACCCCAAACCCCAACCCCAAACCCCAACTGCTAACCGAAACCCCTAACTCCAACCCCTAACCTCAACCCCTAACTCCTAAACCATAACCCCAACCCCTAAGAGGTACGGCTACGAAATAGGATCTTGCCGCGCTTACTTTTTGAAGGGGGGAAATGTTAGTTCATCAGGCAGATTTTTAGTTATTCATGCTGTTGACAGTTGTAAGGACTTTGATTTTAGACTGTGAAACAAATAAGAACTGGAGTAGTTTAATGTCAGCAGACAGAATCTGACTGCAAACTGTCGCGGTTAGCTACCATGGGCGTCAGAGCACTCACGCAGGCCGTCTTCAGTTCGCACGGTGACCCGTTATCGATCGATTGTTTTCCCCGCGCATAACTTGACACCGGCGTGGCGGGGGTTTAACGTCACTCGACACTGATTGGCTGCAGACGGGCAAGGTCCAGGCAAATGCATGAACCTCGCGCCGGGACGAACAGCCTCAACGGTTGCAACTGGGCTGCTGGTGATGTGCCTGTCCGCTGAGTTGCGTGAACAGTGCATGACCGATCCCATGAAATGTTGGCCAAAATTCTGGAATGCGTTTCCGATTGGGAAGGATTACTTAACTGGGGTTGTTATACTGATTATCATACAGCATAACCCTATAACATTTTGGACTCGACAGGATACCAGCTTTTGAATGCGCTTCTCCTTGATCTCCTGCAGAAACCACACTCGGTAAAAAATGGCTATTTAAGTAGCATGCATTTGCCCCATTGATTTTCGATGGTTTTACAAATTGAAATAGATTTAACAGACAACAGGCGCAAAATATGCTTTCTTTTGCTCATTTGGAAGGAAATCATATTATCCTCATATTTTATGCTCGAAGAAAGTGTGTATCTAGGTTTTAAAAAAGTTTCCCGGTTCTCGAATAATATTTAGCCTGATCTGCCATTGCATCAGCGCTTAGCAATTGCAGTCTACAAGGTGCATGCTTTCCGCGTAAGGAACATCATATATTTATCTATGCCTTCAAGAAGATACCACATAGAGTTCATGAAATTTTGCAATGGGTCCGGATTGTGTTGCACATTTCTTGAGGAGAATTTGTAAACGGACATGTGCGGTCTTAGAAATCACATAATTATGAACTTTTTTAAGACCTAAATATACAGTTTCTTCGAGCATAAAATATGAAGACGATGCGAATTCCTACCAAATGAGCAAAAGAAAGCATATTTTTATGCATATTTTCTGTAAAATATATTCGGATTTATAAAACCATCGAAAATCAATAGGAAAAATGCATGCTACTTAAGGAGCTATTTTTGTCGAGTGCTGTCTCTGCAGGAGGTCAAGAAGAAGTGCATTCAAAAGCCGACGTCCTGGCGAGTCCGAAATGTTATAGGGTTAGGCTGCATGATAATCAGTAAAATAACCCCACTTAAGTAATCCTTCCTAATCTGAAACGCATTCCAGAATTTTGGCCAGCATTTCATGAGATCGGTAACGCACTGTACGCTATCTGGCCTCAAGAAAGGTTGTCCAGTACTTCTGTTTTCCCTGAATTTTCATTTGGGAAATCTTGAGATGACAAAGAATGCTGCATTTTCCAGTTCCGCGCACAATCAGCCGTCTCCCGCCTCTTATGCAGATAGTAATCCTGCTGTAATTAGCTCTTCGTTACTGCTGGGATACTAGAGCCAATTCATGCGTTAGAAGTGACTATTTTCTAATTCTAAGAGGCCTGTCTTGCACTCCAATATCACACCCAGTAGCCGGGTGTCTCCGAGATAAAGGACTATCGGCTATCGTCAGATAGCACAAGCTTAATTGACAGTTTTGTCAGAAACCGTATTTGCCGTACCATTCGACTTGTATTGTTGGTTAACTGATAGAATTATAAAGTGCATGCCATGGATTTGAACGTTGCTGGTCATAATTAAAATGTCCGTGTTTCTGTTTGGGTAGATGACGGAATGAAGCATTTGAACGACTTCGGGGTAGATCTCCATGAATAACGTTGATATTTGTGTCAGAAAATAGAAAAATGCAACCACCGAATGCCAAGACAAATTGGACGAGTTGTTGGGATACGCACCGCCAAACAGAAACGTGACTTCTTCGAAAGACGCCTTGATTGACCAGCAAACACCTTTATTCCAGATATATAACGATGGTTACGGCTCAGAGACACTGAGATCAATGGTTAACCGCGATCGTATAATGGTCTTCAAAGCACTTACCCGCTCGGACCTCCATGTCAACCTTAGGTCTGGTTCGACTGCCAATGACATAAAAGAACATAAGAAGGGGAGTTCGGTGGGAGAGGTTTGTTTAAGCCTTGACGTTCCGAGTAACGACCTCGGCTACCCACGTTCCAAGTTTGGAGAGTTTCGTGCCCGGTCCTCATCAAGTGGCGGATACTGCCCGATACGTAGCTCTCCGGGTGTCAGCTATGCAGCTGAATTAGACCCCCGTTTCACCGCGACCTCTGTCGTCTCTGCCCTCCTTGACCGCGCTGACATTTGGCGGCAAATGCGTCGGGCAAAATGCGTCATATACTGGGAGCTGTACGCAGGATTCTCCAGTCCCAGCGATTGTGTCCCCTTCTTCAACCTCCAGTCTCTCAAATCGGGTAGCCAAAATTGTTTGTAGTAGTTCTGCTGGCTGCGATGATGATGATGATGATGATGATGATGATGATGATGATGATGATGATGATGATGATGATGATGATGATGATGATGATGATGATGATGATGATGATGATGATGATGATGATGATGACGATGAGTGGGAGTGCCATAACGGCCGTATTAAGAGGGATGGGTGTAGGGGTGTCCAGCGGTGGGTTCACGTGATGGTCGTAGTGGTCGCTCACTTGCTTTCAGGTGAGACTACGCCTAGCGTCCATTTGCTTGCACCCAACTCTCACCTGTGGCTTCACGAAGCTGGGCTCTGCTCAGCGGCCACACCCCGGGCAACCGTCTCGACCGGCGGGCTAAACCAGGCGAGGGCGCTGTGCGCTTGTGCCGCGTGCACAGTGTACTGCGGACTCCGCTGGATGGATGGTCGGATGAAAAACTGCGCCGGCATCGTCGAGACGAGGCTCTGCCTGGTACGCCGTGGGACAACTGCTGCCGGGACGGGTCTCCGCATTGCCTTCGCTGAGACGCGCCCACCCTCGTCGATCTCCACTACAAACATAAAAGTCGTGGCCCCATAGTGGGATTCGGTCGCGCCAACCAGGCACATGGGCAGCCCGATTCAGGGGCGGCACTGCCTGCCCCCACGAGGTGAAGGGCCTAGAAAAGGTGGCCTAAAAAATGCTGGGTACCACGCCGTCTTCAGGCTAGCCAGGGCCGCAGACGTCTAATCATGGTCGAAACACTCAAAATCGAAACAAAAACAATACCAATAACAACAACAACCATACTCCTTCTCCTCATCCTACCTCTTCTACCTCTTCCTCTGCCTATTCTTCTGCCTATTCTTCTCCTTCGTCATCTTCTTCTTCACCTCCTTCCCGTCGCCCCACTCGTTGTCCCCAGACTGACAGGGTGAGCCCACTCACTCTGGCAGCCTGGAATGTTCGTTCCTTTTTAGACAATCCGAGGAGCAACCGACCGGAGCGGAGGACGGCTCTAGTGGCACGAGAACTCGCCCGCTACAAGGTGGACATCGCCGCACTCAGCGAGACCCGATTCTCCGAACAAGGCCAACTGGAGGAGGTGGGTGCCGGCTACACCTTCTTCTGGAGTGGTCGGCCCAGGCCAGAGCGACGAGACACGGGCGTCGCCTTTGCCATCCGGAACGACATCGTGGGACGACTGCCCAGTCTGCCGCAGGGCATCAACGATCGCCTGATGAGCCTCCGTCTGCCTCTCCGGGGTGGGGGCAAATTCGCCACCATCATCAGCGCCTACGCTCCGACGATGACCAACCCCGACGCCGTCAGAGACAAATCCTACGAGGCCCTGCACGTCCTCTTGGCGACTGTGTCGAAGGCGGACAAGTTGATTGTCCTTGGCAACTTCAACGCCCGCGTCGGCACAGACCATACTGTCTGGAGAGGAGTGCTGGGTCCCCACGGTCTCCGCGGCTCCAACGACAATGGTCTGCTGCTGCTCCGCACCTGCGCAGAACACCGCCTCATCCTGACGATTACCTTCTTCTGTCTGCCGGAGCGAGAGAAGGCCACCTGGAGGCATAATCGGTCGCGTCAGTGGTACCTGCTGGACTACGTCCTCGTCCGGAGGCGAGATCAGCGGGACGTGCTGGTAAAGAAGGCGATCGCGGGTGCGGACGGGTGGACCGACCATCGCCTCGTCATCTCGAAGATGCGTATTCGCCTACAGCCTCGCAGGAGACCACAAGGTAACCGACCCCCAGGTAAGCTGAATGTTGCCTTGTTGTCTTTGCCCGCCCACCATCTTCATTTCAGCAATGAGCTAGCTCAACGGCTAGACAACCTTCCTATCGCTGCCGCCGCCGACGACGCCGTCGCTGCCGAGAACGCCTCCGTGGAGAACCGCTGGTGTCAGCTGCGAGACACGGTCCAGTCGACGGCGCTCGCCGTCCTCGGTCGCGTTCCCCGTCAACACCAGGACTGGTTCGATGACAACGACGCCGCCATCAGAGATCTGCTTGCTGAGAAGAACCGCCTACACAAGGCCTACGTCGATCACCCCACTGAGGACAACAAAGCTGCCTTCTACCGCAGTCGTCGCCAGCTTCAGCAACGACTGCGCGAGATGCAGGACGCCTGGACTGCTCGCAAAGCTGAGGAGATCCAAGGCTACGCGGACCGCAACGAATGGAAGAACTTCTTCTCTGCGATCAAAGCTGTCCACGGTCCGCCGACGAAGGGCACTGCTCCTCTCCTCAGCGCTGACGGTAGCACTCTCCTGACTGAGAAGACACAAATTCTACAGCAATGGGCCGAGCATTTCCGAGGCGTCCTCAACCGCCCCTCCGTCATCTCCGACGCCGCCATCAAGCGTTTGCCTCAAGTGGAGACCAACGTGGACCTCGACCTCCCGCCATCTCTCCAGGAGACCATCAGGGCCGTGCAGCAGCTCTCCAGCGGGAAAGCACCCGGATAGGACGCAATCCCTGCTGAGATCTACAAGCACGGAGGTCCCCAACTGATGGATCACCTGACTGCGCTTTTCCAGGAGATGTGGCGTCAAGGCGAAGTCCCGCAAGATTTCAAGGACACAACAATCGTGCATCCCTACAAGCGAAAAGGGAATCGCCAAGTCTGCGACAATCACCGCGGCATCTCCTTGCTGAACATCGCCGGGAAGATGTTCGCACGAATCCTGCTCAACCGTCTTAATAACCAGCTCGAACAGGGTCTACTGCCGGAGAGCCAATGCGGCTTCCGCCGAAATCGTGGGACCACGGACATGATCTTTGCCGCCCGTCAACTGCAGGAGAAATGTCAGGAGATGCGGACCCACCTGTACTCTACCTTCGTTGACCTGACGAAAGCCTTCGGCACAGGAAATCGTGAAGGATTGTGGAAGATCATGCAGAAATTCGGCTGTCCGGAGCGATTCACTCAGATGGTGCGTCAGCTGCACGACGGTATGATGGCGCGAGTCACGGACAAGGGATCTGTCTCAGAGGCATTCGCAGTGACAAACGGAGTGAAGCAGGGCTGCGTACTGGCGCCTACCCTCTTCAGTCTTATGTTCTCTGCCATGCTGATGGACGCCTACCGCGACGAACGCCCCGGGATCCGCATCGCCTACAGGACGGATGGTCACCTCCTGAATCAACGGCGGATGCACTTCCAATCGCACGTATCCACAACCACCGTTCACGAACTCCTCTTCGCCAACGACTGCGCCCTGAACACCACCTCGGAAGAGGAGATGCAACGCAGCATGGACCTGTTCTCCGCCGCCTACGAGAACTTCGGTCTGGTCATTAACACGCAGAAGACGGTGGTGATGCACCAACCTCCGCCCAACTCAGTCACAGCCCCCAACGCGCCGCCGCAAATCAGCGTGAATGGGACCCAACTGCAAGTGGTGGAGAACTTCCCGTACCTGGGCAGTACTCTCTCCCACAACACCAAGATCGATGACGAAGTCGCCAACAAGATCTCGAAAGCCAGTCAAGCCTTCGGTCGCCTCCAAAGCACAGTTTGGAATCGTCACGGTCTTCAGCTGAGCACGAAGCTGAAGATGTACAAGGCCGTCATCCTGCCGACGCTACTGTATGGAGCGGAGACTTGGACGGTGTACGCAAAGCAGGCACGTCGTCTGAACCACTTCCACCTCAGTTGTCTTCGTCGCATCCTGAGGCTGAACTGGCAGGATCGAATCCCCGACACTGATGTGCTGGAACGGACGGGAATCCTCAGCATCTACGGCATACTGAGGCAAATGCAGCTGCGCTGGAGCGGCCACCTGGTGCGCATGGACGACGAGCGACTACCCAAACGACTCTTCTACGGAGACGTAGCGACGGGTTCTCGCCGTCAAGGAGGTCAGATTCGCCGTTACAAGGATGCCCTGAAGTCCTCCCTGAAACGCCTGCAAATCAATCCCACCAACTGGGAGGAGCTCGCACTCGATCGACCGACCTGGAGGAGGGCAGTAAAGACAGGCGCTGCGATCTACGAAGCCAACCGCATCGCTGCCGCCAAAGCGAAACGCGAAGCCCGCAAATCACAACTTCGCCCAGTACGCAACGCCGTCGCACAACCGCTTCCAACGTGTCCCCGATGTCAACGGACATTCCGGGCTCGAATCGGACTTGTTGGACATCTTCGGATTAACTGCGCCTCTCGAACGGCCACAACCATCGTCCCCCCGCCTGCCTCTTCCTCCTCCTCTCCGCCGCCAAATAACTCTGACAATTCTTCTGACCCACCACTTCCATCCTCCTCCTCCTCCTCCTCCTCCTCCTCCTCCTCCTTCTCCTCCTTCTCCTCCTACTCCTCCTACTCCTCCTTCTCCTCCTCCTTCTCCCCCTCCTCATCCTCCTCCTCCACCTCCTCCTCCTCCACCACTGCCCCAACGGCGGCCACTCAGGCGGCCGTCTCGCACATCACCAACCGCGACACAACAACAGACACCACCCCCACCTCTCCCGACTCCAGCGATGAGGATCAGGACAACACCTGCCCTCACTGTGACCGCACCTTTACCTCACACATCGGCCTGGTCGCTCACTTGCGAATCCATCGCACAGAGACTGGCGAGCCAGTGCCTGGAGCACCGACCTACACCCACCGCACTCGCCTCCACTGCCCACACTGCCCTCGCACCTTCACGCATCGCATGGGTCTATTCGGCCACATGCGCATTCACGAGAGCGGAGTTGACCACAATTCTGACACACCCACCACATCCAACACACTCACCAGGCCCAGCACCACCCTCGCTCCATCGCCACACGCGCCCATCACCACCACCACCACCACCGCTTCCTCTACAGATGACACCGACAACGTCGAACTCTCATGCCCACACTGCCCACGCACGTTCACCTCACGCATCGGCCTGGTCGGTCACTTGCGAATCCATCGCACAGAGCCTGGCGAACCAGTGCCTGGAGCACCAACCTACACCCACCACGCTCGTCTCAACTGCCCACACTGCCCTCGCACTTTCAGGCATCGCATGGGCCTATTCCGACACATGCGCATCCACATTGACCTGCGGTAGACAACCGCCGGTTACACCACACATCCACACACTCCCTACCTCCCACCACCATCACCCCACCAGACATCAACACGCACCCAACTGCCACCTCCCACGCAAGTGGGAAGTCCGCATCTCGACTCGGTCCCCATGCGGCTTCGGCTGCACGGGTGACTTGTGTCTGAGACTATCCCGACACGTCAAGCGTCGTGGATAGGAAGGTTGCTGATTGACGCCCGCTCTCGGCTCACGCAGTTCGTCGCGTTGTGTGTGTGTGTGTGTGTGTTGTGTGGAGTGGCGGACTGGTGGGCTGGGGACGGGCTGAAGCTGCACCTTCCACGGCCCTCTCACGCAAGTGAAAGACACGCCGTTCAACACCCGTTGTGTGAAATCCTGGTGTTGTGTGTATGGGGGGCCAGGTCGTGCCGTGGCGCGCGCAGTCATGGTCAGTCGACCATGATAGCCACCGCGCCCACTCCCCACTCCAGTCTGCTGACCGGTTCGGACAGCGGCTGGGGTGTGGGAGTGGGAAGGAAGAGTGAGGTCGACGACTCAGCGCACTTTCTCCTCACTATAAACAATCTGACGCGCTTGAAGCTATCACGGTGCGCTAAAAGCCGTGGCTTGGAAGGTTGCCAACTGACGGGGTAACTTGGACCTCCTCCTTCACGGGAGGCGGTCTGAGAGTCAGGCTGCAATGGCTCCTTTTTAATGTGGCCTTTATGGCATTCCCACCACAGTGTGGGATCCGAGCCAGGCGTTGGCGGCACGCCCAGGTGCGGCTTCGGCCGTGCCAGCCTCCAAATCTCTGTTGTTGGTTGAAATCCTGGTTATTGTTATGTGGACCAGAGGGTGTGGTGGAACGCCAAGGTGAGGATCCGTCCGAGCCATCCACCTGCGGCCTCCCTTGTCTCCGGTCTTCTGGACTCTGTCTTGACACCATTCTCGGGCGAGGGAGGAGGAGAGAGTGTAGGTAGATGCTACGCAAGTCTACTGGCACTATAAACCCCTGCGTAAGTCACCGTCCCTGCTCCCACTGCTGCTGCAACTGTGGGGCACACGGTGGACATCATCGAAACCGATGGTCGAACTGT